TTCTTTGAATAGGTTTTAGTACTCTCTGGCCCCACCCTTCCAATCAGCCCAAATGTTTACCTAGGGTAATACAGTAGTTCCATCTTTCCCGAGAACAGTTATAAAGAACAAGTACTCTAGTATTTGAAAAGTAAACACCACAACAATATTCCACAACAACTTTGGATAGGGGTTTTGAAATAATTTTTTTTAATTTTTAAATTTCTTCTCATACTTTCTCTTAAAAAAATTTTTTTTAAATTTTTTTTGTTTTTAATTTAATAAAGACAAGATCTCACTATATTGCCCAGGCTGGTCTCCATTTCCTGGGCTCCAGCAATCCTCCCACCTCAACTTCCCAAAGTGTTGGGATTACAAATATGAGCCACTATGTCCAGCCATTATATACTTTCATGTGTTGTAGATTTGGGTGCTACAGTTGAAGGGAGAAGATGCTTTCCTCCTCTTAGCTCTCTTCTCTGGATCCTAAAGAAATCCTAAAAGAGAAAGTGCACCTAGAGGTTATTTCTCCGGGCTTAACTGACTACTGTAGATTCAATAACAATTTAGTTCTGTGCAGTTCAGCTATTATTCCAGAAAACTAACTCCATCAATTATAGAAAATAACTTTTTATAGATAGAGTTTTTACAAACCTGTCTTCACTACATATCCAGGAAGGATTATTTTCCTTTGCACCATCAAAGCACCCAGGTTCTTTCCTTCATTTTATGAGAATCATTCCGGTGATATATAGTTGCTACTATTATTGGGCACATGTGGTATCTCATTTAGATTTTTAAATCCATGTTTTTAAAGGCAGAGTTCTGTCTTGACGATATTTGCCATCTCCTTTCTCATTAAAACCAAACCCCAAACCTACTATCAAATAAAATGGTGATACAAAAATCACATCCTACATATTTTGTGTCCTGCCCCTCTCTTCAGCATTCATTTATAGTTTGGTAATCCTTTTAAAACTTTGGTGAACAAAAGTAAAAAGTCAAGTAAGAAGCAAAGACTTCATTTTGTGTTTTACCCTGTTTCACTGGCATGGACTTTGATCCTCTACCATAAATAAAAATCTATTTTAAAATCTGACTTTAAATCTTGATGTATTTACTGTAAATTTTATAAGTTGGAACCTCATACTATCTTGATTTATATGATTTTAAAATGGATTTCTTACCATTTCCCTTGGGAAGAATTTTTGATTCTAATAGTTCTTACTGGCAGGTTGCTTCCTTTATGTTTAGCCCAAATTTTCATTTTCAAAGACCATTTTAGACAAGTACCATGATAGCTCTAAGCCAATGGATCTGTGTACCACATAATAGAGTGTGACAATCCACTCAGTTGTGAAAGACACTGAAGATAAAGTAATAAAGCAGCATTTGTGTTATCACATTGGCTTTACAAATCTACTTAAACACTGACCAAATAGTGTTATTCATGATTGGGAATTATGGATGTTTATAATTGTCCCAAAATATGTTGGGCTAAGTTATACTATATATCATAGATTTAAATTTAAATTCAAGATCCTGGGCTGAGAGAGATGCAGATTTATTCCTTGGAGGTTTAGGGGTCCATGAACCAATGAATACATTATATTGTCACATTAAAGAACTCTTTTTATCCATAAAGACATGACATGTATTTTTTTATGGTTCATATAAACAAAATTATTCTTATATGTATGATTATATACATATATACAGTTGAAACATCTGTATATATATATATATGAGATTCCAGCTGGCATCTGAAATTGACAGTAAAAATAACAATGATTATATTCTTCCAGACTGTGTATAAAATAGTGGTGTAAGCTCCTTCAGGGCAGGCTAGTTAGTCAATAAATATTTGTTGAATGAAGAAGTATATTCACAATTAATTATAAATTTAACTTGATTAGCATCACTTAAACAATAAAGGAACCAAAATAGCTCTATTAACAATAGAAAACAATTCAGTTTTAGGACGGGAGTGGTGGCTCACACTCGGAATCCCAGGACTTTGGGAGGCTGAGGTGGGTGAATTTCTTGAGCTCAAGAGTTCGAGACCAGCTTGGCCAATAGAGAAACCCCATCTCTACTAAAAATTTAAAAATAAACTGGGTGTGGTGGTGGTGCCTGTAATCCCAGCTACTTGGGGAGGCTGAGGCAGGAGAATTGCTTGAACCCAGGATATGGAGGTTGCAGTGAACTGAGATTGCGCCACTGCACTCCAGCCAGGGCAACAGAGCGAGACTCCATCTCAAAAAAGGAAGGGAGGAGGGAAGGAAGGAAGGAAGGAAGGAAGGAAGGAAGGAAGGAAGGAAGGAGGGAGGGAGGGAAGGAAGGAAGGAAGAAGGGAGGGAGGGAGGAAGGGGTGAGGGGGGGAGGGAAGCAGGAGGGGAAGGAAAGAAGAAAGGAGGGAAGGAGGGGACGGGGAGAAGGAAGAAAGGAAGGAAGGCAGGGACAGAGGGGAGGAAGGGAGGGATGGAGGAAAAACATATATTTTAGCTCTTTCTACAAAAAGGACTAAAACCAAAAACCAACCCAATAGCAATGGGCATCCTCAACACATAGATTGTGGTCTTGAAATACCATTTCCTGCTAAAAGGAACCAGAGTTCTTGAAGAAATACCTAATTACAGGTTTGAAAAATCAACATACAAAAATAAACCTGGAACATCTTATACCAGAGAGTAAGGAAACTATGACTCAAGTAAAGACTGCTAGGTCATGTCAAAAAGACTCAGAAGCCAACTTAAAGAGACTCCCACTAGCCAAGGGACACACTGAGCACCAGTAAGCACAGTAACTACACTGGATTGAAAGACATCGAATGTGAATTGTCAGTCGCATTCTCCATGAGTTCATGGTACTTAAAAAAAAAAAGTTGTCGGCTGGGCGCTGTGGCTCATGCCCGCAATTCCAGCACTTTGGGAGGCCAGGCGGGTGGATCACAAGGTCGAGAAATAGAGACCATCCTGGCCAACATGGTGAAACCCTGTCTCTACTAAAAAGAAAAAAATACATAAGGGGCTGGGTGGGGTGGCTCACGCCTCTAATCCCAGCACTTTGGGAGGCCAAGGCGGGCAGATCACGAGGTCAAGAGATGGAGACCATCCTGGTCAACATGGTGAAACCCCGTCTCTACTAAAAATACAAAAATCCGTCGGTCATGGCATGCTGTAGTCCCAGCACTGCAGGTGGCGTGCGCCTGTGGTTACAGCTACGCGGGAGGCTGAGGCAGGAGGATCGCTTGAACCCAGTAGGCAGAGGTTGCAGTGAACCGAGATTGCACCACTGCACTCCAGCCGGGGTAAAAAGAGTGAGACTCCATTTCAAAACAAAACAAAACAAAACAAAACAAAACAAAACAAAACAACAAAAACAAAACTTAGCTGGGTATGGTGGTGCGTGCCTGTAGTCCCAGCTACTTAGGAGGCTGAGGCAGGAGAATAGCTTGAAGCCGGGAGGCGGAGGTTGCAGTGAGCTGAGTTCTGGCCACTGCACTCTAGCCTGGTGACAGAGCAAGATTCCATCTATCAAAAAAATTTTACAAAAAAAGTCACCAATGGAGGAAGCTAATAAACCAACTCATTATTTTGAAACCTCCTCCCCTTCTCTCTTTCTCTCTCCCTTTCCTAGACACACACACACACACACACACACACACACACACACACACGATCACCCTTGTTTCAGACTACAAAACAGTCTTATAAATGAAAGGAATCTCTTTTGGAACTTCAGAAACTAACATCATATTTGGAGGAACCAAAGTGGAATCAACCTAAAACCTCTGTCACCTAGGCTGAAGTGCAGTGGTGGGGTGATCTTGGCTCACTGTCACCTCCACCTCCCAGGTTCAAGCGATTCTTGTGCCTCAGTCTCCTGAGTAGCTAGGATTACAGGTGCCACCACAACCGGCTAATTTTTTGTATTTTTAATAAAGATGGGGTTTCACCATTTTGGCCTGGCTGGTCTCGAACTCCTGGCTTCAAGTGGTCTGCCCATCTTGGCCTCCCAAAGGGCTGAGATTCCAGACATCAGCTACAATGCCCAGCCTAGTTTAATTTCTTTTCTTCCCCCTCTCCCTCCTTCATTCCTTCCCTTCCTTCCTTCCTTTTTCCTTTCTTCCTTCCAATAATTGAATAAAATAAATCCTGAACGTATATCAATATTTAACTTCTAGGCCCGGCGTGGTGGCTCACAGCTGTAATCCCAGCACTTTGGGAGGCTGAGGGGGCGGATTGCTTGAGATCAGGAGTTCTGGACCAACCTGGCCAACAGGGTGAAACCCCATTTCTAACAAAAATACAAAAAAATTAGCATCTGCCTGTAGTCCCAGCTACTCGGGAGGCTGAGACAGAAGAATTACTTAGACCCTGGAGGCAGAGGTTGCAATGAGCCAAGATTGCACCACTGTGCTCCAGCCTGGGTGACAGAACAAGATTCTGACTTTATGTTACATATTTAACTCATTTTCCCATGCCAAGAATCATGGTCTCAAAACACCGGGCATGATAGAATTTGAATAGCATATATATCTTCATTTTCTTTATCCCACTTTACACATATAGTAGCTTCAGAATAACAATTCCAGCTGTAATACCCACAATACGATTACCAAAAATTATTTATTAATTTATTTTACAGATTTTTTTTCCCCTTAGGGTATATCACGCTAGGAATTAACCATAAAATTACTGTGTTTTTTTCTTTTCATTTTTTTGAAACACGACCTTGCTCTGTTGTCTAGACTGGAGTGCAGTTGCACAATTATGGCTCACTGCATCTTCAGCCTTCTGGGCTTATGTGATCCTTCCATCTCAGCCTCTCTAGCTGGGAACACAGGTGTGTGCCACCACACCCAGATGATTTTTAAAATTTTTTTGTAGAGATGGGGTCTCCCTATGTTGTCCAGGCTGGTCTTGAACTGCTGTGCTCAAGTGATTCTCATGCTTCCCAAAGTGCTGGGATCACAAGCATAATCAACTGCACCCAGGCCCTGTTTTTTCTCTTTCTTATTTTTTTTTTTTTTTTTTTTTAAAGTGATCATGTTTTAATTATGAGCTAAAAATGCCTAATACAGTAAGCTTGAATTTTAAAAATTAAGAGTCTAAATAAATTGCTAGGGAATTCCACAATGGTAGTTAATGAAAATTTTTCTCTACATACAATATGATCATTAACAGACTAGTTCTTATTTGGAATGATAAGGCAAAAATAGTAAAACCACACTTTTCCTATAAAAAGTTACACATTATCTTCTGTAGGGATAGCTATCGTACATGAAGAAACAAAGACGTGATCACTCTATTGCACACCCAGAAACATTAGAGAATCTGGTCTTAGAATGATCTAGTCGTCTTCTTCCTCTCCATCATCTTCAGCATCTCGTTTCCTCTTCTCCCCTCGAACACTTTCTTCTTCTTCTTCTTCCTCCTCTTCTCCTTCTTCAACATAGTCATCATCATCTTCTTCATCCTGAATTTCTTCTTTCATTAAGTATGAGAGACCCACTTCCTCTTCTCCCTCTCCCAACTCTGAATCTGCTTCATCTTCATCTTCATCCTCATCCTCATCCTCCTCTTCCTCTTCCTCCTCCTCTTCCTCATATCCTTCAGGTGGACCAGCTTCATTTTCCTCTTCCTCTTCATCATCTTCATCTCCATCCTCATCATCCTCCTCTTCAGAGTCTGGTGCTTCATTATCCTCCTGATCAAATCCATCTAAGTATGTGATTTGCTGCAGCAGTTCAAAAATACTTTCTCTATAATCTTCCAGGTTTGTGATCTCGCAGTTAAACAGGTCAAGACTTTTCAAATTTTTAAGATTTTGCAGAGCTTCTACTGTACTGAGATCTTTTATTTTGTTTCCACTCAGATTGAGGTAGGTAAGATTTGGACATTTCTCTGCCAGGACTTCCAAGCCTCCAGAAATTATATTGTCACTAAGCTCTAATTTTCGAAGTTTATTTAAGCTGGGAAGCCGGGCCAGTGAACTTAGTTCCACATTAGCCATACTCAGAAATTCTAGTTCTTTAAAAGTATCATTCAGGCCTTCAATTTCCCCATTGACACACAGGCAATTATCAAGGACTAACTCTGTCACCTCCTCCGGGGCTCTGTTCCTTAACTCCAGGTTAATCTTCTTCTTCATCTCCATGTCCTCCTCTTCCTCTTCAGCTACTACTCTCCTTCCTTTCCCTTTTCTGCCTTTCCCACAACCCCCAACCCACAATTTTTAAGATTCAGAAATGAATGAAAAGGAACGCAAATATAAACGCCCACTACCACCAGATAGGTGTGGGGGAGAAAGAGAATAGCAAATGGAGTCCAAGAGTTGGGAGTCTAACTCGGCTGCCCCAACCTCCTTGTCCACACACTAGCGCGCGCACACACACGCACGCACGCGCGCACACACATACACACACACACACATACACACACACCCGCAGTTCCTTCCCCTTCAATGGCTGCTCGGAGACTGAGCCTCCATGACACGGCACCGCCAACCCCCTCTCTTATTCTTTTTAATGGGGTCTCTTTACGTTGCCCAGGCTGGCCTGGGCTCAAGTGATCCTTCTGCCTCACAGCCTCCCGAGTAGCTGGAATTACAGCTGCGCCATTATACCAGCTAAATTATGGGTTTTAAAGTCACTTGGAACAGTCTCTTTGTGTAGCTGAGCCATCGGCTGGATATACAGTTAAGTTCTTTTGTTTCATTTTATTTTTGAATTTTAGGAATTTATTTTTTCCATTTTAATTTTGCTTTATCATTAATTTAATCAGAAAATTTCATATTCTGACTTCCTCTAAGTAGACTTGAAAATGAATAGAAGTAACTAAGATTTATAGGTTTTTTATGTTTTTCTTTTTTAAAATTATATTTTAAGTTCTGGGAACAGAACTTACATGTATAATTTACATGTAAGAACATGCAGGTTTATTACATAGGTATATACACGTGCCATGGTGGTTTGCCGCGCCCATCAACCCATCATCCACACTAGGTATTTCTCCTAATGCTGTCCCACCCCTAGCCCCCCAACCCCTGAAAGGCACCAGTGTGTGATGTGCCCCTCCCTGTGTCCATGTGTTCTCATTGTTCAACTCCCACTTATGAGTGAGAACATGTGGTGTTTGGTTTTCTGTTCCTATGTTAGTTTGCTGAGAATGATGGTTTCCAGCTTCATCCATGTCCCTGCAAAAGACATGAACTCATCCTTTTTAATCCATAGTGTATATGTGCCACATTTTCTTTATCCATTCTATCACTGATGGGCATTTGGGTTGGTTCCAAGTCTTTGCTATTGAAAACAGTACTGCAATAAACATATGTATGCATGTATCTTTGTAGTAGAATGATTTATAATCCTTTGGGTATATACCCAGTAATGGGATTGCTGGGTCAAATAGTATTTCTGGTTCTAATCCTTGAGGAATCCCCACACTGTCTTCCACAATGGTTGAACTAATTTATACTTCCACCAACGGTGTATTCCTATTTCTCCACATGCTCTCCAGCATCTGTTGTTTCCTGACTTTTTAATGATTGACATTCTAACTGTCATGAGATGGTATCTCATTGTGGTTTTGATTTGCATTTCTCTAATGTGATGATGAGCTTTTTTTTCACGTTTGTTGGCTGCGTAAATGTCTTATTTAGAGAACTGTCTGTTCATATCCTTTGCCCACTTTTTGATGGGGTCATTTTTTTCTTGTAAATTTGTTTAAGTTCCTTTAGATTCTGGATATTAGCCCTTGTTGGATAGACTGCAAAATTTTTCTCCCATTTTGTAGGTTGCCTGTTCACGCTGATGATAGTTTCTTTCGATGTGCAGAAGCTCTGTAGTTTAATTGAGCCCACTGGTCAATTTTGGCTTTTGTTGTCATTGCTTTTGGTGGTTTAATCATCAAGTCTTTGCCCATGTCTGTGTCCTCAATGGTATTGCCTAGGTTTTCTTCTAGGGTTTTTTATGGTTTTAGGTCTTACATTTAAGTCTTTAATCTATCTTGAGTTAATTTTTGTATAAGGTGTAAGGAAGGGGTCCAGTTTCAGTTTTCTGCATATACTAGCCCAATACCATTTATTGAATAGGGAATCCTTTCCCCATTGCTTGCTTTTGTCAGGTTTGTAAAAGATCAGATGATTGTAGATGTGTGGCATTATTTCTGAGGCCTCTGTTTTGTTCTATTTGTCTATATATCTGTTTTGTTACCAGTACCATGCTGTTTTGATTACTATAGCCTTCTATTATACTTTGAAGTCAGGTAGCATTATGCCTCTAGCTTTGTTCTTTTTGCTTAGGATTGTCTTGGCTATATGGGCTCTTTTTTGGTTCCATATGAAATTTAAAGTACTTTTTTGTAATTCTGTGAAGAAAGTCAATGGCAGCTTGATGGGGATAGCACTTTAAATATAAATTACTTTGGGCAGTATGGCCATTTTCATAATATTGATTCTTCCTATTCATGAGCATGGAATGTTTTTCCATTTGTTTGTGTCCTCTCTTATTTTGTTGAGCAGTGGTTTATAGTTCTCCTTGAAGAGGTCCTTCACATCCCTTGTAAATGGTATTCCTAGGTATTTTATTCTCTTTGTAGCAATTGTGAATGGGAGTTCACTCATGATTTGGCTCTCTCTTTGTCTGTTATTGGTGTATTGAAATGCTTGTGATTTTTGCACATTGATTTTGTATCCTGAGACTTTGCTGAAGTTGCTTATCAGCTTAAGGAGATTTTGTGCTGAGACGATGGGGTCTTCTAAATATACAATCATGTCATTTGCAAATAGAAACAATTTGACTTCCTCTTTTCCTGATTGAGTATCCTTTATTTCTTTCTCTTACCTGATTGCCATGGCCAGAACTTTCAATACTGTGTTGAATAGGAGTGGTGAGAGAGGGCATCTTTGTCTTGTGCTGGTTTTCAAAGAGAATGCTTCCAGTTTTTGCCCAATCAGTATGATATTGGCTGTGGATTTGTCATAAACAGCTCTTATTATTTTGAGATACGTTCCATCAATACCTTTATTTTTTTTAGCATAAACAGGTGTTGAATTTTATCAAAGGCCTTTTCTGCATCTATTGAGATAATCATGTGGTTTTGTCATTGGTTCTGTTTATGTGATGGATTATGTTTATTGATTTGCGTATGTTGAACCAGCCTTGCATCCCGGGGATGAAGCTCACTTGATTGTGGTGGATAAGCTTTTTGATATGCTGCTGGATTCAGTTTGCCAATATTTTATTGAGGATTTTTGCATTGATGTTCATCAGCGATATTGGCCTGAAATTTTCTTTTTCTGTTGTGTCTCTGCCAGGTTTTGGTATCAGGATGATGCTGCCTCATAAAATGAGTTAGGGAGGAGTCCCTCTTTTTCTGTTGTTTGGAATAGTTTCAGAAGGAATGGTACCAGTTCCTCTTTGTACCTCTGGTAGAATTCGGCTGTGAATCTGTCTAGTCCTGGACATTTTTTAGTTGGTAAGCTATTAATTACTGCTTCAATTTCAGACCTTGTTATTGGTTTATTCAGGGATTCGACTTCTTCCTGGTTTAGTCTTGGGAGAGGGTATGTGTCCAGGAACTTATCCATTTCTTCTAGATTTTCTAGTTTATTTCTGTAGAGGTGTTTATAGTATTCTCTGATGGTAGTTCGTATTTCTGTGGGATCAGTAGTAATAGTCCCTTTATGATTTTTTATTGTTTCTACTTGATTCTTCTCTCTTTTCTTCTTTATTAGTCTGTTTAGCAGTCTATTTTGTTAATCTTTTAAAAAAATCAGCTCCTGCATTCATTGATTCTTTGAAGGGTTTTTCATGTCTCTATCTCCTTCAGTTCTGCTCTGATCTTAGTTATTTCTTGTCTTCTGCTAGCTTTTGAATTTGTTTGCTCTTGCTTTTCTAGTTCTTTTAATTGTGATGTTAGGGTGTTGATTTTAGATCTTTCCTGCTTTCTTCTGTGGGCATTTAGTGCTATACATTTCTCTCTAAACACTACTTTAGCTGTGTCCCAGAGATTCTGGTATGCTGTTACTTTTTTCTCATTGGTTTTAAAGATTTTTATTTTTTTACATTTATATTGGTTTTAAAGATTTTATTTATTTTAAAATAAATACATAAGGTTTTTTACTTCTGCCTTAATTTCATTATTTACCCAGTAGTCATTCGGGAGCAGGTTGTTCAGTTTCCAGATAGTTGTGCGGTTTTGAGTAAGTTTCTTTCTTTTTTTTTTTTTTTTGAGACGGAGTTTCGCTCTTGTTACCCAGGCTGGAGTGCAATGGCACGATCTCGGCTCACCGCAACCTCCACCTCCTGAGTTCAGGCAATTCTCCTGCCTCAGCCTCCTGAGTAGCTGGGATTACAGGCATGTGCCACCATGCCCAGCTAATTTTTTGTAGTTTTAGTAGAGACGGGGTTTCACCATGTTGACCAGGATGGTCTCGATCTCTTGACCTCGTGATCCACCCGCCTCGGCCTCCCAAAGTGCTGGGATTACAGGCTTGAGCCACCGCGCCCGGCTTGAGTAAGTTTCTTAATCCTGAGTTCTAATTTGATTGCACTGTGGTCTGAGTTCTTTTGCATTTGCTGAGGAGTGTTTTACCTCCAATTATGTAATCAACTTTAGAATAAGTGTGATGTGGTGCTGAGAAGAAGGTATATTCTGTTTATTTGCGGTGGAGAGTTCTGTAGATGTTTATTAGGTCCACTTGGTCCACAGCTGAGTTCAAGTCCTGAAAATCTTTGTTAATTTTCTGTCTTGTTGATCTGTCTAATATTGACAGTGGGGTGTTAAAGTATCCCACTATTATTGTGTGGCAGTCTAAGTCTCTTTATAGGTCTCTAAGAACTTGCGTTATGAATCTGGGTGCTCCCGTATTGGGTGCATATATATTTAGGATAGTTAGCTCTTCTTGTTGCATTGATCCCTTTACCATTATGTAATGCCCTTTTTTTTTTTTTTTTTGATCTTTCTTGGTTTAACATTTTTTTTATCAGAGAACAGGATTGCAACCACTGTTTTTTTTTTTTTTTTTTTGCTTTCAATTTTCGTGGTAAATATTCTTCCATACCTTTATTTTAAGCCTATGTATGTCTTTGCATGTGAGATGGGTCTCCTGAGTACAGCATACCAATGCGTCTTGACTCTATGCAATTTGCCAGTCTATGTCTTTTAATTGGGGCATTGAGCCCATTTACATTTAGGGTTAATATTGTTATATGTGAATTTGATCCTATCATTATGATGCTAGCTGGTTATTTTGACTATTAGTTGATGCAGTTTCTTTTTTTTTTTTTTTTTTGAGACGGAGTTTCACTCATGTTACCCAGGCTGGAGTGCAATGGCGAGATCTCGGCTCACCGCAACCTCCGCCTCCTGGGTTCAGGCAATTCTCCTGCCTCAGCCTCCTGAGTAGCTGGGATTACAGGCACGCACCACCATGCCCAGCTAATTTTTTTTTGTATTTTTGGTTGAGACGGGGTTTCACCATGTTGACCAGGATGGTCTCGATCT